GAAGCTTTTTCTGACCTCTCAGTTCACCGCAGAATGAAGTACATTCTACTTTTGCAATAAGAGCACTTAACAGTGTTTAACTACCTGTTCATTATTCTGTCCCCCCCCACTAGATCGTTATGTCTTAGATAACAGTGATTGGGTTTTGTTACATTCATATATGAAGGACTTGAGAAATACATACATATATTTCTCATATTTCCAATTTATGTAAATTATATATTTATATATAATATTGAGACGGAGTCTCGCTCTGTCACCCAGGCTAGAGTGCAGTGGCATGATCTCAGCTCACTGAAGCCTCCACCTCCCGTATTCGAGCAATTCTCTTGCCTCAGCCTCCCAAGTAGTTTGGATTACAGATACATGCCATCACGCTAGGCTAATTTTTGTATTTTTAGTAGAGACAGGGTTTCATCATGTTGGTCAGGCTGGTCTTGAACTTCTGTTCTTGAGTGATCTGCCCATCTCGGCCTCCCAAAGTGCTGGCATTACAGGTGTAAGCTATCGCACTCGGCCAAGTTGAGAAATATTTGATGATATAAGAAAGATATTTAGGGCTCAGCAAATGAATATGTGGCATAACTAAAATCAGAAATAAGAATTTAATGGAGTTAGAGAATTACTGCAAGGAGTGGTAAGGAGAATATAAAGATCTTAGAATGGAACAAAAATTTTTGGGGAGGGCATGACTTCTCACATGATGCAAAACAAAGAAAACAAAGAGTGAAAGCTGAAGAAAACATCTGTTATTGTTTTTGTTTCTTTTCTTTTCTTTCTTTTTTGAGACATAGAGTTGCTCTGTTGCCCAGGCTGGAGTAGTGGCATGATCTCGGTTCACTGCAACCTCCGCCTCCTGGGCTCAAGTGATTCTCCTCCCTCAGCCTCCCAAGTAGCCAGAGTTACAGGCACCTGCCACCACGCCCAGCTAATTTCTTGTATTTTTTTTTTTTTTTTGAGATGGCGTCTCACTCTGTTGCCCAGGCTAGAGTGCAATGGTGTAACCTCAGCTCACTGCAATTTCTGCCTCCTGGGTTCAAGTGATTCTTCTGCCTCAGCCTCCCTGAGTAGCTGGGACTACAGGCATGTGCCACCATGACCAGCTAACTTTTGTATTTTTAGTAGAGAAAGGGTTTCACCACATTGGTCAGGCTGGTCTCGAACTCCTGATGTGAGCTGCCTGCCTCGCCTCCCAAAGTGCTGGGGTTAGAGGTGTGAGCCACCATGCCTGGACAATTTTTTTTTTTTTTGTATTTTTAGTAGAGATGAGGTTTTTCCATGTTGGCCAGGCTGGTTCAAACTCCTGACCTCAGCTGATCCACCCACTTCAGCCTCCCAAAGTGCTGGGACTACAGGCATGAGCCACCATGCCCAGCCTGTTATTGAGTTTTATTAGCATCTACTCAAATTAAGAGGGTCATATTGCTGATCCTTTTTTCCCTTCCTTCCATAGGATCCAGGTAAAATATTGACCAAAAGGCAGGAGGCGAGCATCATGTGAACATCCAGGGATTGCAGAGATTACAAGGGCCTATACCCGGTGTTGCGGCCCGGCTGTGGTGAGTGAGGGGTTTACTTTGTTTATGGTACCAGAAGTAGGAAATTAATGGGAAAATTAGGCATTATGGTTGAAGAGAGCTTGAGGACAGAACCATTGGTACACAGTAAGTGTGAGGACACATGGAAAATTCTAAATGGAAAAGAGGTTCCAAAACAACAAAACAAAACAAAAAACCAAGAGGGGGTTGGTCCAGGACAAAGCTTGAGAATGAGAAAAGGCTGCCAGAGATGCCTTCATTTTAGTCTTGTGATGTGGGGATGGGACAGCAGGCTTAATGGGCCAGAACTGGGCTCTGTTAGACAAGGTGTAATCTTTAGAAGTGGTACATTCAATGTCATCCTGCAGTAGTGACAGAACGAGGCTCTTTCACTGCTTAAAGATCCAACTTACAGCCTTTTCACAAGATGGCGCCGAAAGCGAAGAAGGAAGCTCCTGCCCCTCCTAAAGCCGAAGCCAAAGCGAAGAAGGCAGTGTTGAAAGGTGTCCACAGCCACAAAAAAAAAAGAAGATCCGCACGTCACCCACCTTCCGGCGGCCCAAGACACTGCGACTCTGGAGGCAGCCCAAATATCCTCGGAAGAGCGCCCCCAGGAGAAACAAACTGGACCACTATGCTGTCATCAAGTTTCCGCTGACCACTGAGTCTGCCATGAAGAACACACTTGTGTTCATTGTGGATGTTAAAGCCAACAAGCACCAGATCAAACAGGCTGTGAAGAAGCTCTGTGACATTGATGTGGCCAAGGTCAACACCCTGATTCGGCCTGATGGAGAGAAGAAGGCATATGTTCGACCGGCTCCTGATTACGATGCTTTGGATGTTGCCAACAAAATTGGTATCATCTAAACTGAGTCCAGCTGGCTAATTCTAAATATATGTATATCTTTTCATCATACACATGCCTCTCTGTCAATTTCTGGTTGGGTGGGAGGCCATACACAGGAACTGTTGTTGTAACTTGCCCACTGCTTGGGCAAGACTCCTGTTCTGCTTATCCTTTTGAAACTCACCCTGCCACTCAACTCTTCCATCCTTGATCATTCTAGAGATCTTTGTGACTAGCGTTAGTGTCCTAGGAAAACCAGAACTCAGAGCTTGCCTCCATGGTTGAGGGTAACAAAAAGCTTTACAAGAACCCCTTTCATCCCTTGAAGAGGCTGTGTGTGAAACCAGTGCCCAGAGTTTGAAGCACGTTAGCAACCATTTCAGGGGAGTGTGGATTGGCTGGCTTTCCAGTAGCATTTTGTCCTCACACACCCATTTGCTATGTCCAACTGGTCTGTCTGCTTCCCTCACCCCTTGCCCAATAAAGGACAAGGACTTCAAAAAAACAAAAAAAAAAGATCCAACTTACAGATGGTGAGCAGCAATCACTGAATGAATGGATAGAAAATGTAAACTTCACAGAGCATTTTATCTTCCATCTGTTTCCCTCTGCAATTTCAACTTGACGCAAATCCAAATTCTGTACTTTCCCTCTTCAGGCCACCCAGGTTGCCTCTGTTTTAGAAGGTTGCAGGGAGCTAGGTTGTTTTGGAAGTGGCCTGTTTGCTTAAGATGTTGCGCTTAGAGTTTTTAAAGGTGGATCCCCTTGCTTATGTTGTCAGACTGTATTAATGTATTCCTACACTGGGCTTTGATTTTGCATGTACAGTATCTTCATAAAGAGGCAGAAAGAATTCATTCAGTAGCTTTGTGCTCAAATGCTCTGCCTTAGCTACTCACAGACTCACTCACTGGCATATTGATATATGATTTTATTGAGATCTCTGTCTAGGAATTAGCAATACAGATATAAATTGATATAGTCCTTGCCCTTAAGGAGCGCATCATTTAATAGGAAAGAAAATGAATGAATATTGCTTAATTATCTGTACAATAATTTGTAATTTCCCATAAGTCTGTCGGTTGTCTGTAGGCTTGCTGGGGCTCAGCCCCGAGGTTCTTCTGCTTGTCTTGCTTAATGGCCTTTCAGGCAGATGCATTCAGCTTGGCTGGAAGATCCTACTTGGGTTCATTATATATCTGGTGCCTGAGTACTTTTCACTGTGGTCTTTTCTTTGTGGTGTCTCATCATTCAGTAGTCTAGTCCAAGCTTCTCTACAGGAAGATGACTGACTTCACCAGGGAGAAAGTGGAGGTTTTGGGGCTTTTTATTTATTGATTTAGAGACAGGGTCTTGCTCTGTCATGCAGGCTAGGGTGCAGTGGTGCAATCTCAGCTCACTGTAGCCTTGAACACCTGGGCCCAAGCAATCCTACCTCAGTCTCCTGAGTAGCTGGGACTACAGGTGCATGCCACCACACCTGACTAATTTTTGTATTTTTTGTAGAGATGGGGTTTTGCTACATTGCCCAGCCTGGTCTCCAACTCCTGTGTGCAAGCAATCTGCATGCCTCAGCTTCCCAATGTGCTGGGATTGCAGGCATGTGCCACCACTCTTGGCTTCTTCTGGGCTTCTTGAAAGAGAAGAAATAGCATCAATTTTGCTGCATTTTATTGGTCAAGGAAAGTCACAGTGCCAGTCCTGAGTCGAGGAAAGGTAATGAATTTAATGGGTGAAGTGGCACACACTTATAGGCAAGGAGGGGATTGACAGCAAGTCTTTTTGGAGAGTATCTCCCACAGATACAAATAAATAAGCCATAACTAAAATTTAGTGAGAACTTCTGTGTCAGACAGCAGGCCAAGTACCTGACATGTATGATCTCATGAAATCCTCATACATAATATCCCCATATCTAGTGAAGTAGGAATCATTCTTATCCTCATCTTATAAGCAAGCAAGTGGAACCTGGCAGAGGTTAAATAAATAACCCTAGGTCAAATACCTAATCAATGATGATGCCAGGATTCAAGCTCCTTGGAGTTTGATTTGTTGTACTCTGAGAGGGAGCTGACTGAACTGGTTGAGAACTCAGTCCTGTGGGCCATCGCACTGTAGTAAATGGTATGAGAGAGGGTTCAGAGGAGAAAGATCTCTTCTATTTGGGGGTTCAGAAAAGTCTTCAGGAAAGATGCCATTTGAGTTGGATGTCAACACTTAGGGATGATTTAGACCTGGACAAATTTGTGAATTAAGGATTTCTTGTAGGCAGAAAACATCATGAGTATATATTTGAGGAGAGGAAGCAGGGGCATGCACTGAGACTAGCAATCAGTTTAGCTTGGGTGGCCTCTAGAATTCAAAGAAGGAGACAGCAAGAGCTGTCAGAGAAGTTTGGGGTCAGATGATGAAAATACTTGAATGCCAGACTGAGATATTTGGGCCTTTATTTAGTGGAAACTAAGGAGACATTTAGTGTTTTGGAACAAGAGCTTTATTTAATTTTATTTAATTTTTTTTTAAGCAATATGTTTAATTGGATGATTTCCACAAACTATCCACGAAGTTTCTAACCATCACAATTCAGTGAAGTACAAAACATTAAGTTACAGGCTGTGGGAAGAGAAGGCAGCACCAGTGGTGGCACCTTCCAATCCTGGTGGTTCTAGGGGCAGGGAGAGGGGAAGGTCTTCTTTTTAAACTAAGCCCCTCATTTCAATGTACTAAAGAATTACTCTGATCGATATTAAATTGTATTGAAAAAAAATGGACTAAAAAGCAAATACTACTCTATGTTGGGGTGGAAGTGGGAGGAAAGAATGAGTCCTTCGAAGCAGGAAGGGAGACAGCAGGGGGAAGGTTCTGTGCCTGTGACCCTGGGCGGTCACTCACGCTGCTCCATTTTTACTTTTGGTGGTCTCAGGAAGGTCCGATTTTTCTTCTCTTTCTTCCCCTTTGTATTGGCTTGGAAATTTCGCCAGCTGTCTACACGACCATCTCGACTTTCCTCAAAGTTTTTCTGCCACTCTCTTTCTTGTTTGGCTTTTTCTTGAGCTTCGATCTCTTCCTCCCTTTGTCGTTTCCTTTCATGCATCTCTTTGGCTTCTCTCTCTTTCCTTTTAATTTCCAGCTCGGCAAAGAGTTTCATTGTCCGTTTATATACAGCTTGTTTGAACAGCTCAGGATCATCCTCCTCTACAATCGTAGGTTTTCCTTCCTTCTTTAATTGTTTTTTTTTTGCTCTTTCACAGTGTGTTCCACGTATTGTTTTCCTGCCTGAATTATATCCAGGGCCCTCTTCTTTAGCTCCTGATCCAGTAGCAACTTGTAAGCTTTGTCCACAGCTTCAAAAGCCTTTTGTGCTCTGTCAGCATCATCTCGATTTTTGTCAGGATGCACCAATATGGATAACTGCCGAAACCTCTTTTTTATTTCTTCATCTGTAACTTCAGGATCGATCTGAAGAACCTCAAATGGGTTCAAATTGAAGTAAGAGGAACCAGGATGGGTCAGGCTTTCAATCTGATTTTTGGATGTTAGAACCGAGTCTCTCTTCTCTATTTGTTTCACCTCACTGTAGAAGGTCATAAATGCTGCCTCTGTGCTGCCTCCGCCGCCCGAAGTCCCGCTCTCTCCTGAAGCTGCCATTTCCCCCAATTTTATTTAATTTTAATTTTTTTTTTTGAGATGAAATTTGCTCTGTTGCTGGAGTATAATGGCATGATCTTGGCTCACTGCAACCTCTGCCTCCTGGGTTCAAGTGATTTTCCTGCCTCAGCCTCCTGAGTAGCTGGGATTACAGTTGCTCACCACCATGCCCAGCTAATTTTTGTGTATTTTTAGTAGAGACGGGGTTTCACCATGTTGGCCAGGCTGGTTTTGAACTCCTGACCTCAGGTGATTCGCCAGCCTCAGCTTCCCAAAGTGCTGGGATTACAGGCATGAGCCACTGTGCACAGCCAAGAGCTTTATTTTTAAAGGTTAAAATCACTGGCTGGGCATGGTGGCCCACGCCTGTAATCCCAACACTCTGGCAGGCCGATTGATCACGAGATCAGGAGTTCGAGACCAGCCTGGCCAACATAGTGAAACCCCATCTTTACTAAAAATACAAAAATTAGACGGGCATGGTGGCATGCACCTGTAGTCCCAGCTACTCAGGAGGCTGAGGCAGGAGAATTGCTTAAACTTGGGAGGTGGAGGCTGCAGTGAACTGAGATCATGCCATTGCACTACACAGCATGGGCAACAGAGTAAGACTCCATCTCAAAAAAAAAAAAAATTACAGGGTAGACTTGATGTACTGAAATGGAGATACCGAGGCAGGATGAGCAAACCAAATACTTTTTCAATGAGTCAGTTGAGAGGGGAATTTTATACTGACCATCCATTGGAGTGGTAAAGAGTTATGGAATAGTAGACGTATTGAAGGGTTTGGTAGTTGAGGAAGGAATCAAAAATAGATCTAGAATATCCAGCCTGAGTAACCAAAATAATAGAGATGGGGCAGACTTGAAGAACATATAATTATTTAAATTTGGGGGCTACGAAATTGACTTCAAACGGTGGTGTTGACCTTGTGAGGGACCAAGGTGGACTTCTGGGAGTTGGTCCAAAGGTGAGAGCCATTTATAATGAAGAAACATGATACTTTTCTTTTCTTTTCTTTTTTCTTTTTTTTTGAGACAGAGTCTCGCTCTATCGCCAGGCTGGAGTGCAGTGGCACTATCCCGGCTCACTGCAATTTCCGTTTTCCGGTTTCAAGCAATTCTCCTGCCTCAGCCTCCCCGAGTAGCTGGGACGACAGGCACGCGCCACCACGCCAGAATAATTTTTTGTAGTTTTTAGTAGAGACGGGGTTTCACCATGTTGGCCAGGATGGTCTCGATCTACTGACCTCGTGATCCACCCGCCTCGGCCTCCCAAAGTGCTGGGATTACAGGCGTGAGCCACCGCGCCCGGCTACTTTTCTTTTTAATTAATTTGCAAGACATTGCAGACCAGTGACCTGTTTTTCTCCTTTTCTCTTCGTTACTCTCAATTATTCCCCAAATTAGTCAGATGCAGTGGCCCACACCTGTGGTCCCAGATACTCAGGAGATTGAGGTGAGAGGATTGCTTGAGCCCAGAAGTTCTGGGCTGTAGTGCGCTATGCCCATGGGTATCTATACTAAGTTCAGTGTCAGTATGATGACTCCAGAGTTCTGGGGATTGCCAGGTCACCTAACGAGGGGTGAACTGGCCCAGATCAGTAATGGAGCAGGTCAAAACTCCCTTGCTGATCAGCAGTGAGATCTTGCCTGTGGATAGCCCCTGCACTCCAGCCTGGGCAATGTGAGAAGAAAAGTTCCTTTTTAAAGTTTCTTTTCTTGTTAAAGAATAAGTGTGCTAATAACTTTGTTAAGCCCTATCCTATGTAGTGTTAGACATAGCATGCTTACAGACATGTAGCACATTCCATGTCCTTGTACTTTAATCAAGATATCTGTGCTGTACATGCTCACAGATGTGTCCTAACTCTCCATTGCTTTTACTGGTTTAGAAAAGTTTTAAGTTATTAGCCAATCGGGTTTTAGTTTAAATCGTGAGGTCTGGCTCCAGCCAATGGGGATCAGACACAGCAGTAAGGACAGCCCAAATGTGTAAGGGATAAATGTGTGTGTTTTCCTTTGTTCATTGTACTCTTGTGGCATAATTGCTAGCACAGGTACCCTTCCTGCAGTCTAGGAAGTAAAAATTGCATTGCTAAAAGATCCTTTGTTTTAGTGCTAATTTTTCTTTGCAGCACCAAGCATCTATTTCCAACACACAACATGATGAGACTCTATCTCTTAAAACAAACAGGCAAACAAACCTCAAAGTAACTCAAACCCAGTGAAGTGTCTGGCCTGATCCATTGGCTTTTACTATCTCCCACCCATATCTCTTTCCCTGCTACTCTCACATTAATATCCTAAGAGGTAGTGCCTTATATCAGGGCAATTGGTGCTCAGTGGAGCACTGTGCCTTGATCACCTGCTTTACATATAAGGAAAATGAGACAGAGAAAAGTTAAATGCCCAGCATGACATAGAGCCTGAATGACCTGATTCAGAGCAGGAGGGAGGGCATTTATGACCTTTATTCACAGCGTGTGGGGTGGCAGAAGGCCAAGTCATGGTCAGATGAAACAAATACATAGGGGAGGGAAGAGTATGGCTTTGTGACCTGGCAGCATCAGGACTAATCCTGGGATAGATAGAGCTGTGAACTGATGACTCAGTTTCCTTTGCAGAGGCTGGAAAATCAAGATATTTACTCAATAAGAGCCTTCGTAGGTTCAGGTTAGAAGATTCTGTAATGGTGCTGTGATTAAGGACTTTCATTCTGATTAGAATTACACCCTAGCAAATGAGTGGGAACTATTGGAACTTAAGTAGCTGCTCAACAGAACGAATGCAGTTATTTCTGAAGTGGCTTGTTAACTTGTTACCTGCTCTCTTGTTTTTCATTTGCTCCAGATCTGGGCGTGTGGATTCTGGGGTCCTGGGAATGGCAGCTGGGATTTGCAGTATTTAATGTGGAGCATTTCCTACCACTCTGCCTCATTACCGACACTCACTCTCATCATTCATCAAAAGATTCGTAGCCCCTTGAGGAGGAGAAGAGGAGTGGGAGATTGTGTAAGTTGCCTGTAACAGGTCCCGTGCTCAGGGGAAAGGGACCACATAGGAGGAGGTTTCCAAGAGCTACAATTTGTTAAGGACCTTCTAGGTCAAGCTATTGCTACCTGTGTGCATATGCTAAAACAATACTACTGTTAATATTTATAACAGTGACAATAATAACTGTCATTTATTTCACAGTTTCAACAAATCTTACAGTGGGCTGTATATAATTTAGAATCCTCTTACCAGCTCCTTTTGCAGGTGAAAAAATAGATTTCTCAGTTCCATAGCTTTAAATCCTGTTTCAGACATCAAAGTTTGTGCTTTGTCTTCCGTGAAAGGAACTGAAATTGCGACTTTCTTTTCTAAGACAGGGTCTCACTCTGTAAATCAGGCTGGAGTGTAGTGGTGTGATCAGGGCTCATTGCAGCCTCGACCTCCCGGGGCTCAAGCAATCCTCCCACCTCAGCCTCCCGAGTAGCTGGGACTACAGGTGAGCACCATCATGCCTGGCTAATTTAAAACAATGTTTTTTGTGGTGATATAGTTTTGACATGTTGCCTAGGCTGGTCTCGAGCTTCTGGGCTCAAGTGATCCGCCTTCCTTGGCCTCCTGAAATGCTGGGGAAATTGCTATTTTCTATCTTACGTGGTGGGGAATAGGGATGTTCGGATAGGCCTTTGAATCTAGTTTTCAGTTGTTTCCATACCATCTTTTGGTTGTTTCAGTGAGTTTGGACTATATATATATATATATATATATATATATGCATTTTTCCCAACATTGTAATTCTTCATCCTTCCCCGTCATCATGGTAGTCATGGGTTAGGATGCTCATGGGAATAATTTAGACTTGAACATTAGGAAAAGCTGGACCAAACACAAAACTGGCCACAAACACAGAGCTTGTGGATTTATTTTATTTTTAAAATTACTTGTTTGTTTAATTTTAATAGCTTTAGGGGTACAAGTGGTTTTGGTTTCATGGATATATTATATAGTGGTGAAGTCTGGGCTTTTAGTGTACCTGTCACCTGAGTAGTGGACATTATACCCAATAGTTAATTTTCCATCCTTCTCTACCCCTGCTACCATCTCTGCTTCTGAATCTCCAGTGTCCAGTATAACACTCTATATGGCCCTGTGTACCCATAGCGTAGCTCTTGCTTGTAAGTGAGAACAGGCAGTATTTGATTTATGTGGATTTATTTTGGGTCGTCTTCCCCTCTGTAGCGAGGCTGGCCTCTGCCAATGGGAGGTGAACATTTTGAAGCTACAAGTGAATCAATATTTACCAGGCTTAGCTTAAGGAAATAGGTAATATTGATTAGAAGGGAAACCTATTGCATGTTAGGGAAATACAGCTGGCTAAGTACGCAGCTTAGTGTCATGAAAGCAACACAGATTCTGCAATCCAACAGACACTGGTTTAAATTTTGTCTCCACAACTAGCCTTGCAACTTTGAGCAATTCTCACAATCATTCTGGGGCTCAGTGTCCTTGGCTATAAAATGCACCTCCCTCACAGTCTTGCTCTGAAGATGCTATCGCTACTATCAGTAGATGCCAAGACTTCCTGCTCCTCGGGTGCTATGATAACTGTTTTAAGTACATGCTGTGTGTGTGTTTATGCTTTTATTGATGCTTGGAGGCTTCCAGACCTTTATTTTGGAAATAGGAGCATCAGTTTTTGCTATTATGTTTTTCTTTACTTTTTTTCTATTTTGTGGTAATTGAAGTATTTTTTTTTAACCTCAGTTTTTTTGAACACCCTAGCCTGCTCCTGCTCTCCTTAGAGACAAATAGGACATGTCGACAAGGAATTATGAAATTCTAGGGAATAAGCAGGATACTCCTGGATGCTGTTGTGGAGTAAAGGGAAAAATCCAAGCAGAAGGCAAGACACAGAGAGGCTGTGCGCAGGACTGTTCATACAGCTGCTCTTCTTTCTGGGGTAGTGGCAGCCCTCATGATCTCTAAAACACTTTTGTGATCAGTCTTC